GTGTAAATGGTGGATTCTCTGTAACTTGAAGTCTTTAAATCATGAGTTGAGGACTTCAGTAACTCAGCCAGAGGTTGTGGGTTTATTACAGGAGTGGGTGGCTGAGATTCTGTGGCGTGCAATGTGCAGGAAGTCCGACTAGATGATCATGATGTTTCTTTCTGTCCTTAATGTCTATGAGACTGCTTAATTTTCTTAAGAGACTTTGGTGAGGGACCTTGTCAACGGCTTTCTGAAAATCTAAATACACTAGATCAACTTGATCACTCTTGTCCACATGTTTGTTGACCCTCCTCAAAGAATTCTAATAGGTTGGTGAGGCATGATTTCCCTTTATATAAAGCCCTGTTGACTCTTCACCAAGAGTCATGTTCATCTATGTATCTGATAATTCTTTGCATGGTACTGAAATTAGGCTTACCAGCCTGTCATTGCCAGGATCACCTCTGGAGTCTTGTTAAAAAATCTGTGTTGCATTAATTATTGTCCTGTCATCTGGTACAGAGACTGATTGATTTAAGCTATAGGTTACATACCACAGTTATTAAAGGAACAGCCGTGTTAGTCTGTATTCGCAAAAAGAAAAAGAGTACTTGTGGTACCTTAGAGACTAACAAATTTCTTTGAGCATAAGCTTTCGTGAGCTACAGCTCACTTCATCGGATGCATTCAGTAGAAAATACAGTGCGGAGATTTATACACACAGAGAACATGAAACAATGGGTGTTACCATACATACTGTAACGAGTTACAGTTAGTAGTTCTGCAGTTTCATATCTGAGTGTCTTCAGAACTCTTGGGTGATACCATCTGGTCCTGATGACTTACTACTATTTAATTTATCAATTTGTTCCAAAACTTCCTCTATTGACACCTCAATCTGGGAGAGTTCCTCAGATCTGTCCCCTAAAAGGAATGGCTCAGGTTTGAGAATCTCCCTCACATCCTCAGCCCTGAAGACCAATGCAGAGAATTCATTTAGCTTCTCTACAATGGCCTTGTCTCTGTTGGTGCTCCTTTAGCTCCTCCATTGTCCTGTGGCCCCACTGATTTTTCGGCAGGCTTCCTACTTCTGATGGATGGACTTACAATTTTTTTTTTTGCTGTTTGTCTTTTGCTAGTTGCTCTTCAAATTCTTTTTTGGCCTGCCTAATTATCCTTTTACACTTGACTTGCCAGAATTTATGCTGCTCTCTATTTCTTTCAGTAGGATTTGACTTCCGAGCAGTCAAAAAGGCTAACAATGTTAGAAACCGTTAAGAAAGGGATCAGACGACAAAACAGAAAATATCATAATGCCGCTGTATAACTCCCTGGTGCGCCCACACCTTGCATACTGTATACAGGTCTGGGCACTCCACCTCAAAAAAGATCTATTGGAATTGGAAAAGGTGCAGAGAAGGGCAACAAAAATGATCAGGGGCGTGGAAAAGCTTCCTTATGTTGAGGGATTAAAAGCACGGCACTGCTCAGCTTGGAAAAGAGATGGGGGGATGTGATCGAGGTCTATAAAATGGTGGCTGGTGTGGAGAGAGTGACCAAGGATGTGGTGTTTGCTCCTTCAGTGCCCCCAGAACAGCCCACACAATAATTGTCAAGCGGGCAAGCACATGGCAAACAAATAGACAAACTAACAGACAAACTCTTCCCCCCTCTACCCCCCCCCCCCCGCAGCTGTAGTTGGTCCTCCTTCACCTGGAGAACTCCCTCACAAACCTCTTCTTTGTGCTCCTGTTCACTAGACTGAAAATCTGGGGTTCCCCTTTGCTGTGACCGTTCCTTAGACACAGACTTTAAGGACACATTTTCAGTATATTTACTGAAAATCCATCCATTTCACCATAATATTGACACTGGCTTTCGTTTGAGGTCTCACCCGAAATTCTTTGAAACTAGGGTGCACGTGCCAGACTCAGGAGATTCCTGTAACCGCTTTGCATCCCCTTAGTGCCCCATGCCAGTTGGCACAAGGGTTCTCAGGTCACAGGGTGCACTGGCAGAGCTGTGGTGCAGGGAACCGGGGTGTCATGCCTCCCCCACCTGAGCCCCCAACCCCTTTTGCCTCCCCTACCATCCATCCCCATTTGTCCCCTGCCCCAGAATCTCCCTCCCCTCACTGCAGGCCCAAATCCCTCTCCCCTGCTCCCCCACTTCTTCGCCCCCTACTAATCCTCCTCATCCCAGGAAGCAAGCACGTGTCTAATTCCTCCCCACCCCCAATATTGTGATTACATTTCCCCCAAAATGAAATTGCTACCCACCACTCTCAAATTGCAGCCACTCAGTTCAAAATGTTTTTGTCTTTGGAGCGGGCTTCTGGTTGATTTACCCCTAGATATGTGTTTGGAAGAGTGAGTTCATAGCCATCAATCTCAGGGAGACCTGTGATTCATTTGTACTGCTCAGTTTAACAGTATAAGGCAGCAGAAGGGAACTATTTTTGGGGGTGAGGCCGTAACTTGGGAACTTCAGTCAAATGACCCCAAATTTGGATCACTAATGCTGTGCTAAACCCCTGTGAAGCACCCTGAATTTCAAAGCACTCCAATGAATCATTTGGATTTTAGAGCACTTACAAGAGTTGAGCTTTAAAGCATATAAAATGGCAGGAGTGGAAACCCTTTAGCTATGAGTCTGTTATGGACTGTGTAAAAATGTCCATTTTCTTAAATACACTTCACAAGTTAGGTCCCGCAGAGGTTCAGGGGGTGCCATGCATGACCTCAGGTAACACTCTACTGAGACCATTTTGTCCTGCATCACGTCAGCAGTTTGATCTCTAGCTTTGGCCAAAGACATGCCACTTTGTTTTTTTTTTAAATGGCTGTTTTATTGCTGGGGCTTAAATCTCTGGAACTCTTGGCTCAAATGACTCCAAATTTGGGTCACTAATCCTACCCTGTGCTCTCCCCAGGCAGGCATGCCTAATTTCAAAGAAATCTGACTAGGCATGTTGATTTCAGAGGACTTAGAATGGTCCACCTTTAAACAGATGTCATGATGCAACCTTAACTATAATAGTGCTCCTGCATAACTACCATGATAGGCTGTATCCTGAACCGCAGGAGTTCTCAGCTACAGTATTATTTGCCCTCACAATTCAAATGGAATATTTGACATATTTCTGGTACCAGTGTAATTGCTACACCAAATAAGCAAAAAGGGAGGACGATTGGAAGTTGCTAACTCCTGGTATTTTTCAGAAAGTAATCTGGTTGGCAAATGCGGTGATCTGACTGTTCAATTGAGTCTCTCTTTGTACAGATCAATCCTGTGAGCTAAAATATTAAATAACCATTTTATAGTGCAGTGCTGCATTCTGTGTGCTGTTGGTGTCATAGAAAGTGCTTGGCTTCCAGGCAGGCGATGCACCGGGACCTGCACCTCCCCCTGACCGCACCCTACGTGGTGCGTTGCTGCCTGCTGGTGATAGCTGTTGTAAGCAAACAGTGTTTGTCGCATCACTTGTGGCTAAGTTTGATTTTTTTTGTACTTATGTAAGCATGAAACCTCAATAAGGCACAGAGATGCTGCCCGGCCTCCCACTGTTCCCACTGTGTTACAAAGTGCCTCGGTTAAAAAATAAATAGAATAGCCCCTCCTACACACACATGGAGGTGGACAAAAAGCTTATGGAGGAGGAAGATATTCTTGGTTTGTTCCTAAGATTCTGAGCTATGGAGAGACTGAAGTGATCAGATTTTAAACATTCAGTGACTAACGGGAATCTCCTGAGAATGTTGTTTAATGTTTCTTTCAACCATGAAAGATGGAAAGTCGGTAGAATAGCATTGCTCAAAAACCAGTGGTGGCGTATCTCAAAGAGCAAAGGAGGGAAGTAAGTGTGCCATCCTGCTCCAGTAGCCTATTGCGTAGAAATGGGGTGTTGAGCTGAAGCTATTCGTTGCCGCTTACAAGGTTTAGATGTGTTGCATGGCAATACAGTACAGGCTATTAGGAGTCTTATCAGAGATTTAGCTAAGAGTTTAAAAGAGTTGGCTGAGGAACTCTCTGGACCATCAATGTTGATGGTCAGTAAAGCTTGGAGCACTAGAGAAATTCCACAAAACTAATGTGCCAATATTAAAAAGACTAAATGGGATGACCAGGGTAGTTATAGGCCTGGCAGTCTGACACACATACCTGCAAGACAATGGAGCAGCTGGTATGGGACTCATTGGTAAAGAATTTAATAGGGGAAGTGTAATTAATGCAGATCAATATGGTTTATGGAAAATAGATCCTGTCAAACTAACTTGCTATCTTTTTTTGATAAGATTACAGGTTTTGTGGATAAAGATAGTAGTGTTGATGTAATATACTTAAACTTCTATAAGGCGTTTGAGTTGGTATCACAGAACATTTTGATTGAAAATTAAAATGATATAAAATGTACATGACACACATTAAATGGATTAAAAACTGGCTAATTGATAGGTCTCAAAATGTAATAGTAAACGGGGAATTCTCCATCAAGGGGTGACTTTCTAGAGGGGTCTGGCAGGGAATGATTCTTGGCCCTACGCTATTGAAAATTTTTATCAATGACCAGGAGGAAAACAAAAATTTTGATTGATAAAGTTTGCAGATGACACACAAATTGTAGAGTGGTAAATAATAAAGAGTACGAGTTGCTGATTCAGAGTGACAGGGATCTCTTTGTGAACTGGGGCCAAGCAAACTATGCATTTTAATACGCTTAAATGTAAATGATACATCTAGGAACAAAGGCTGTAGGCTATAATTACACAATAGGAGACTCTATCTTGGGAGACAGCGACTGAAAAATGTTTTGGGGGTCGTGATGGATAATCAGCTGAGCATGAGCTCCCAGTGAGATGCTGTGATCAAAAGGGCTAGGGTGCTCCTTGGATGCATAAACGGGGTAATCTCAAGTAGGAATAGGGAGGTTATTTACTCCTGGGAAAATTCTGTGCCCCTGTAGCACAGCAGAAAAATGCCTGTCCCCCACCTTACAGATTCCTTTTGCTTCCTTGCAGATGAAATGGTTTCTGTGGGGACGCAAAGAGAAGCTTCACCAGTACTCGCACACCCCTCCCTGGCAGTTCAGCTGGGGAGAGGTAAATCAGTCAGGGGAGAGGGGTCTGGGGATGCCCCGGCCACCCAGGAACTTGGTCCCAGCTGGTGGGGGGGATGGAGATGGAGTTCCACCTTCCCCTTCCCTGCACGGAGCAACCACGGCTGGGTCAGATCAAGTCCGAGAAACTTCCACTAGCTGCGGGAAGCTCTGCACCCCAGGATGTGTGTGTGTGTGTGTCTGGCTGCGGGGTGGGGGTGGGAGTGTGTGTGAGGTTACAGGTGTGTGGGGAGGTGAGGCTCAGCAGTGGGAGGGAGGTTAGGTGCCGGGGGTCTGGATGCACAGGGGTTGGGTGGATGTGGAGCAGCTCCCTGTACAGTGACCCCTTGCTGCACCCGGAACCCTCCCCACTGAGCCCCCTCCACATCAGGATCCCCCTGCAGCAAGAACTGCTCCACCGACCTCCCCAAACCTCCACCCTGCCGAGCCTTACCCCCTGCATCAGGAGCCCCCCACACACAGACCCCATCCTACTTAGTCCCAACCAGCTGCACCCTGACCCCCCACTCACCCAAGCCACATTTCCCCAGGGCCCCCCCAACTGAGCCCTAACCACCTTCACCTGGACTCCCCTGCAGAGTCCCATTCCCCCTGCCCCCAAAATCCCGTACTGAGCCATCCAGATTCCCCCCTGCACCCAGACTCCCCACGAGGAGCATCCAGATTTCACCACACAGAACCGTGGTACTCTTGAGGGAATTCTGAACTGAAAAACTAAAAATTTTGCAAAGTTCTGCATATTTTAATTGTCAAAACAACACAGAAACACAGTAACAATATAATCACACCATTTTCAATTCTTTTGGTAATTTATTTCAAAATACTTATCAGCAAATAATTGAAAATGGTGTGATTATATTGTGTTATTTTGACAAATAAAATATGCAGATTTTAAAATGTGTGCAGAATATTTAATTTTTTGGTGCAGAATTCCCTCACTGGCAATTTTTAAATCAAGGCTGGATGTTTTTCTAAACGCTCTGCTCTAGCAATTATTGTGGGGCAGGTCTCTGGCCTGTGCTATGCAGGAGGTCACACTAGGTGACCACAAGGGTTCCTTCGTGCTTCGGAATTTATGAATGGAAGCATTTTTATCATTTATTTTTCTGTAATACTGCAATGCTTTACAAACGTATGGAAGGCAGGTCTGTGCCCTGAGGAACGTGCAGTCTGATTGAGACAGCAAACAGGTCAGGCAGCATCATAGCAGCGTGGAGTGTTGTGAAGCGAAGTGGAATAAGTAGGTTTGCAGAAGGAGAGGGAGGGAGACACCTGAAGGCTGCGCGGAATAAAGGTGGGAAGAAGAGAAGCTTCCAGCACAGCTTCTATTGAAACTCTGGCTTAACTCTAAACTATGTTAAAAAGAGCAACAGCTTCGGTCTTAACAACAGAGAGTGGGAGAGAGTCTGAAATAGCAGGGAAATAGTGTGAAAAGGGCAGTGGTGGGGGGAGCTTAGGAAAGGGAGATGCAGGGTGAGATTTCCGGATGTGCCTGCGTAGCATCTGCTGGTGAACTCTCTCTGACTGTCAGTGAGAGTTCAGGGTGCCTGGCTCTCTTGGGCACTTTTGAAAATCTCCCCCACTGTGCCAAGAAAGGGTTAATAAGTTAGGAACTAGAATCTACACTGCAGTAAAAAGAAAAGGAGGACTTGTGGCACCTTAGAGACTAACCAATTTATTTGCGCATGAGCTTTCGTGAGCTACAGCTCACTTCATCGGTGCATCCGATGAAGTGAGCTGTAGCTCATGAAAGCTTATGCGCAAATAAATTGGTTAGTCTCTAAGGTGCCACAAGTACTCCTTTTCTTTTTGCGAATACAGACTAACACGGCTGTTACTCTGAAACCGGTACACTGCAGTAGAAGACCCAGAGTTGGCCTGGATCATTTGACTCGGGCTTGGGCTGTGGGGTATAAAATTGCAGTGTAGAGTTCGGGCTCTGAGACCCGAGGAGGGGCAAGGTCCCAGAGCCCAGGTTCCAGCCCAAGCCTGAATGTCTACACTGCAATTTTATAGCCCAGCAAGACAGAGTCAGCTAACCTGGCTAGTTGCGGCTGTGCCACAAGTCTCTTGTCACAGTGCAGACATCCCCTTGAAGATAACAATTTGTCCAAGAGAATCATGTGAAGGGACTTTTCTTCTCTGGATTACACTGCCTTTTCTTCACGGTGCTTCTGGAAAATGGTACTGGAGCAACCTCTACGGACAGGCTAGAAGGGGATTTCATGCCAGCCTTTTGCTCTTCTCAGAAACTTCATCCTGAAGCTGTTTTCTTTTTTCATAGCATATTCAGAAAAGAAACGCCTTAGAAAGCCGAGCAAACGGCTTCTGGAATATGCAGAAGAATATGATCAGATATTTGCACCGAAGAAAAAATCAAAGAAGGGCCAGGAGCAATTGCAAAGGGTAGGTGAGAGCGTCGTGCTGCTAACTCCCGTTCTGTGGTTTTGCTCTCAGGCTCTGGTTTGTATCCCTGCAGTATGTTGTTTGTGTTCTTGCTGTGCATAGCACAGGGCAGGTTAAACCCACTTCCATCTGTATCTGTTGCTGCTGCTAGGTGAGTTCCCGGGAGAGGTCTGAGTTCAAGGGGGAGGAAAGGCTTCCAACACGATGCAGTCGTGGAAGTGATATCCAGAATATTCAGCTGGAGCAGAATCCTGTGATGTCAACTCCATCTTCCTCTTCAACCAAAGATTCTCCTCCGGTCCTTGAAGCAGAACATTTGCTGTTAGAAGAGCCAGTATCCCATTCCTCTGAGCCCACTGACCTACTCCTAGAAGGACATTCAGATTTGCCGGAGCTGATGTTATCTTCCCCTGATGTGTCTGAAGTTTCTGCTTGTTCTCTGGAGGCAGAGGAACGTTTCCTGAAATCAGGTAAGCGATATGCAGCATGCCTCCCTTCTGAAATGCGTGAGTCTGCTTTGCGTCTAGCTGCAGGAATTCTGACTCAGATCGGTGCTGGAAAGCTGAAGAACTGCTCTCTGGTTTCTGTTTTGTTAAACTCAGTAATGTGGCTGTAAGCGAGCAAGCATAAATTATAGATTTGGTAGCCAAAGAAAAAGCTACTCGCTTCACATTTCCCAGCATTGTCCATACCGTGATGTGCTCTCCGCATACTACATGTTTGTCCAAACCTGGGTATTCAGAACTCCCCCTTCTTCTTCGAGTGCATGTTTCGTGTCCATTCCAGTCAGGTGTGTGCAACGCATGCACAACAGCCAGAAGACTTTTCCCCTAGCAGCATCTGTAGGGTCGGCCTGGGCGCCCCCTGGAGTGGCGCCTTCATAGCACCCAATATAGGGCCCTGCCGACCCGCCACCTCCTCAGTTCCTTCTGACCGCCAGTGACGGCTAGCTGGAACTTCCTGAGCGCACCGGTGCCGACGGTGCGCAAGTCGGCTCCTAGAAAGGAGAAAGGCCTCAGCCCATCCAGCCTACTTCGGGCCCGACAACTCCTAAGGGCTCATTGATTCGTGCCCCGCAACGGGTCCAGTGAAGTCTAGCCCACTACTGCTCTCCGGACTGTCGTGGCCAGGACATTCAACTCCACTCCACTCCGGAGACTTTTGAGTTAGCGCAGGACCTTGTTCACCTGACGGCTCCGCCTTCCCCAAGGAGAGATGAGACATCGGTGTCAGCCAGGCTGCCTATTCCATCTAGGAGCAAGCCAGCGATGATGTCACGCTGCACCCCATCTCCTGCGTGCCACTCTCTGGCACCGACAGCCCATGGTGTGTGGGTGGGGGGGAACTGCATCAGTCCCCAGAGGTTTGGCACCGCTCTGCAGCACCAGCCAGTGCTGCTCCTCCATGGTCTTCTTTTTCGGAGTCCAAGGCAGAGTCCTATCGTTCAGATAGGTCCAGCAGCAGAAGATCTAGATCTTGGTGACACTATGCAGGCATTTGAGGCCGCAACCTCCACAGTTTACCAGCAAAACTGACAGGACAGTTCCCAGAGGAGGAACAGGAGCAGCAGAAAGAGGCCTCAGCTGTCCTCAGGCCAGGGCTTTGGCCAGACCAAGTCTTCTGTGGGCCAGAAACAGGCCTTTTGAAGGCACGCACAAGGACAGTGTACCAGATCAAAAACTGGATCTACCTCATCTTACCTTTTTGTTCTGACTATCCTCTTTCTACTGTGCGTGGTCCCGTGTCACCTCGGACTACTGGGTGCTCCACACAGTAGAGGGGGGATACTCCATCCAATTCTGTGCCCTTCCACCCCCTTCCCCGTCCCTCTTCAGGGATCCCTCTCATGAGCAACTCCTTGTACAGGAGGTGCACTCGCTCCTTTCACTAGGGGCAGTGGAAGAGGTTCCTCGGGAGCTGAAGGGCAAGGGCTTCTACTCCTGGTATTTCCTAATACCAAAAGCCAAGGGCAGGCTCAGGCCAATCTTAGACCTGCGATAATTCAACAGGTTCGTGAAGAAACTCAAATTCCGCATGGTTTCTTCGGCTTCCATCGTCCCTTCACTGGATCCAGGAAACTGGTAAGTCGCCCTCAACTTGAAGGACTCGTACTTTCACATAGCGATAACTCCGTCCCACAGGAAGTACCTCAGGTTTGTGGTGAACAACACCCACTACCAGTTCACAGTCCTCCCATTCAGCCTGTCAGTGGCACCTCAAGTATTCACCAAGTGCCTGGCAGTCGTGGCCATGTTCCTGCGTAGGCGACAGGTACAGGTGTTGCCATACCTCGACAACTGGCTGATCAAGGGCCGATCCAGGGCTCAAGTAGAGATGCAAGTCATCTTCATAAGAATGACATTCGACAAACTGGGCCTGCCACTGAACAAGGGGAAATCAAAGCTGTCCCCGGTTCAGCAGATGAGATTTGTAAGGGTGGTACTGGACTCGACACAGTTCCTTCCCAAAGCAAGATTCCGAGCCCTCGGCGACATCATTCAAAGTCTCAGGCAGTTCCCCACCACCACAGCACGGAACTGCCTGAAACTTCTAGGACACATGGCTGCATGTACCTACGTAGTACAGCACACCAAGCTCAGACTTCGACCTCTTCAGTCATGGCCGGTGTCAGTGGCCAGCCCGGGACAGTTTGGACAGGATTGTAACCCTGCCTCACCCAGCAGTCGACTCCCTCCTATGGTGGCTTGACCAGCAGGTAATATGTGCTGGCATCCCCTTCACCAGCCCCCAGCCATCCCTCTCGTCATATTAGACTTGGGCTGGGGAGCACGTTTGGGACACCTCAGAACACAAGGCCTCTGATCTCAGGTGGATCTCGCTCTACACATCAATGTCAAAGAGCTGAGAGCGGCGTGCCTGGCATACCAGACTTTCAGAGCCCACTTACAAGGGAGGTGTGTATCAGTCCTGACAGACAATACCTCGGCGATGTTTTATATCAATAAACTGGGGGTGCACGCTCCTCTCCCCTGTGCCAGGAAGTCCTCGTGCTGTGGGACTTCTGTGTAGAGCACTCAATACACCTGCAAGCATCGTATCTCCCTGGAGTACAGAACGAGCTGGTGGACCATCTCAGCAGCTTGTTCCACGGCCACGAGTTGGTCCCTTCGCTCGGGCGTCGTGACCTCAATTTTCCATTGGTGGGGCTTTCCCCCGATAGACCTGTTCGCCACGCGACGCAACAGGAAGCGTCACCAGTTTTGCTCCCTCCTGAATGGCTGAACCTTTCTTGCTCTGGTCAAGTCAGACAAGTTCTCCTTGGCAGCAGGAAACCCTCCACGAGAGCTGTCTACCTTGCCAAGTAGAAGAGATTTTCAGTCTGGTCGGCGCAGCACCTCCCATCCCCAACTGTCACCTCTGTGAAACTTATACTGGACTATCTCCTCCACCTCAAGCAGCAGGGGCTGTCCGTGTCGTCAATAAGGGTTCTCTTGGCTTCCATCTCCACCTTCCACCCAGTTGCAGAGGCACACTCAGTCTTTGCCAATCTGTTGGTCAGTCGCTTCCTTAAAGGTCTCAACAGGCTATAACCACAGGTCGGACAGCCGGTCCCGGCTTGGGACCTCAATCTGGTCCTTTCCAGACTTATGGGGCCACCATTTGAGCCACTGGCAACGTGCTCCCTGCTTCTCTCTCATACAAGGTGGCGTTTCTGGTGGCGATAACCTCAGCTCGGAGTGTGTCTGAGCTCAGCCCTAACCTCAGAGCCCCCTTACACGGTGTTCCATAAGGACAAGGTTCAGCTCAGGCCTCACCTGGCTTTTCTCCCAAAGGTTGTTTCCCAATTTCACGTCAACCAGGACATCTTCCTCAGTGTATTCTACCCTTAGCCTCACTCCAGCACCAGGGAGCAGAGGCTTCATTCACTGGATGTCCACAGAGCGCTAGCCTTCTACATCGAGAGAACAAAGCCTTTCTGAAGGTCCTTCCAGTTATTCGTGGCAGTGGCGGACAGAATGAAAAGTCTCCGTCTCCTCTCAGTTGTATCTCGTCATGGATCACGTCCTGCATTCAGGAGTGCTACAACTTGGCAAAGGTGCCCTCTCAGTCAATCACCGTGCACGCCACTAGAGCTCAGGCCTCCTCAGCAGCATTCCTGGCACAGGTTTCCACCCAGGAAATCCGCAGAGCAGCGATGTGGTCCTCCATACCCACTTTCACGATGTGCTGTGTGATCACTTAGCAGGCCAGAGACGATGCAGCCTTCTGGTGAGCAGTGCTCTAATCGGTGGCAGACTCCAATCCCACCTCCTGAGCTTAGACTTGTGAGTCACCGGATTGGAATTGACATGAACAAGCACTCGAAGAAAAAACGGTTACTCCTCGTAACTGTTCCTCAAGATGTGTTGTTCATGTCCATTCCAATACCCACCCTCCTACCTCTCTGTCGGAGCAGCCAGCAAGACGGAACTGGGGGTTGGCAGGGCCCTATATTAGGCGCCATGAAGGCACGACTCCAGGTGGTGCCCAGAACGACCCTCTAGATGCTGCTCAGGGAAAAATCTTCCGGCTGGTGTGCACGCAGCGTGCACATACCTGATTGGAATGGACATGAACAACACATCTTGAAGAACAACAGTTATGAGAAGGTGAGTAACCATTTTTTCTGATCATGTTTATCTCTGCATGGATGCTGCTTGCAACAGTTATATTCCTGTTAGTCTGAAAGTTTTTTTGATGTCCCCAAAACACTTTGGATAAACAGGATCATAGTGTAGTTGCTGCATCTGTACGAGGCAGGTGCTTGAGTTAGACTTGATCTTTCCCCGTGATTGCGAGACCAGAAGCGCTGTAGCTATGGTCTGAAGAAACTGCCCGAAACACTGTTACCAGCAACTGGATCCTCACTCACCTAAATGCACCAATACAGAATCAAATATAGAAGTACATCTAATGTAATTTTTGAAGCCATACCGACCTGATGGTAGCATGTGAACACACAATGGTACAGACAGCTGATGTTCAGGATGGAGGTGGAGATATGTGGGTTGTGGGTGGTGGAAGGGAACTTGTCGAGGTAGAGAAGGAGACTGGTGAGCGGTGGTCAGAGGGCTGGTGAGTGATGTAGCTGCTGATTGCCTGGCTCTCTCTAAGTTGCATTGCTGGTGTGTGCTGTCTGACCTGACAGCTCCGGGTTTTCTGTGAGTTTGACGTTGTTGTTTAAACATAGATATTGTGGTAAAACCTAAAGATCACAGCCAGGCTGAGGTGTGTAACGCTGGGTGCTCCACACATGTAAAATGCCTAATAGTCACTGCCTCTGAGAGCCTACAGCCTAAGACACAAGGGGTAGCAGGTGGATGAGATTTTAAATGTCAGTCAGTATCTGATGATGGATTTTGTTAGTCTGAGTCCAGTTAAAGGAACTGTATTTTTCCTAACTAGAACTTTATTGCAGGGAATGTGGAGAGTAAGCGTCAGAGGAAGCCAACTAAGAAGCTCTTGGAATCCAACGATTTGGATGCTGTGTTTATGCCAAAGAAGGAGGGGTGGACTCCTCCAAAGAAGGTATGTTCCTTCCAGCAAACCCTGAGTGCTAGCTGGGAATGAAACACCAGCCAGCGTGGTGTGTGTCTAGCTGGCTGCAGCTGTGAATTATGACGTAATAACGCGGCTCTCCGACTTTTGGGGTAGCGCTATGTCCTCGGCTACGGTGACTGCTCTTGATTTTTAGGGACTGCTCTGTGCAAATCCACTCAGAACATGTTATACAAAATCTCCTTATAAATTCATCCTAACTAGCACTGCTTCCCGACAGCACTAACAACACCTGTCAGCACCAGGTCATGTTTAGCCACATGAGCCCTGTGCTGAGTCTCCACATTTTAGTCTCTGTGTTACGGTGAATAAAACAATTGAAGTTAGATAAGGAGGGAAACAACTTTGCTTCTTATGGGGACTGGATAGTTTCTGCTGTGAAACATCCCTCTCCTTTAATTTGCATTGGCAAACGGCACTCCAGGGAGCTCTCACCAGGACTCCCAGGTGGAAGTGCTCTACAGTAGACTTTTCCGGTTGGAGTAGGGAGTCTCCATGTGTTCTATTCTGTTGCTGCTTGATCTTGATCCTGAGGTCCTAGCCCCTGAATTTTCATATACCAAATTTTCTCTGAAGCAGGAACGACATTTCTCTCATCACCCTCCTCTGCAAGCTGGTGAACATCAGAATGAGTCTTAGCTGGGTCTCATCAAACCTGTACTTTAAATTGACGGGGTTCCGATGGTATGAAATGTTCAAGTTGCTCTCTGTGGTGTTGGATTCTGATGTTTAAAGGAAAATCACCCATTGGTCTCTAATGTTCACCAGGTAACATGGTTTCAAAAAATGAGATAAAAAGATTCAGACTTTAAGGTCAGAAGTTGACCATCATGATCATCTAGTCTGACCTCCTGCACATTGCAGGCCATAGAGCCTCGCCCACCCACTCCTGCAATAGATTTCTAACCTCTGGCTGAGTTACTGACATCCTCAAATCATGATTTAAAGACTTCAAGTTACAAAGAATCCAACGTTTACATTAGGTTAAACCTGCAAGTAACCCATGCCCCATGCTGCAGAGGAAGGCGAAAAACCTCCCATGGTCTCTGCCAATCTGACCTGGTGCAAAATTCCTTCCCAGCCCGAAATATGGTGATCAGTGGGCGAGAACCACCAGCCTGATGTTTGGGAAAGGATTGTGTGTAGTAACTCAGAGCCCTCCTCTTCTAGTGTCCCACCTCCGGCCTCGGGATATGGTCATTAATAGCGTCATGGATGAGCCATATGTCCTTACAGGCAACCTCATCATAGCTCCCCTTCCATAGCACGCTTAGTCTTGAAACAAGTTAGTTTTTTTGTCTCCACTGCTCCCCTGGGGAGGCTGTTCCAGAACTTCACTCTTCTGATGGTTACAAACCTTTGTCTGATTTCAAGCCTAAACATGTTGATGGCCAGTTTATCCATTTGTTCTTCATTGGCCCTTAACTTAAATAACTCCCCTTCCTCCCTGGTGTTTATCCCTCTGATATATGTATAGAGAGGAACCATATCGCCCCTAGGCCTTCATTTGGTTAGGCTAAACAATCCTCTCATAAGGATCATCCTAGTAGCTCCTCTCTGCACCTGTTCCAGTTTGAATTAATCTTTCTTACAAATGGGAGAGCAGAATTGTGCATGCATTTTAGGTTTTGTGCCTACCCAAGAGCCCTTGCCAATTTTTGTGGGTTTGTGATTGCATTTTCCTATTCTGAAAGATGTTTCTCTCTCCCTTGTTGCTGCGTGAAGCCCCCCAGACAACAGGATTGTTAATGTTAGTGGTGCGGTAGCATCCCGAGATCAGGGCCCCGTTGTCCTAAGCCCTGTACGAACGTATGGCAGAGAGACAGGCTCTGAGCCAGTGAGCTCACTGGCTAAGTGTACGATGAGAGACAACAGGTGGATTCAACGCACAGGCGGGGAGCATGAGGAACCAGTGAGATGACACTGGTCAGCATGATAAGCAGCAGCAGCCAGAGCACTCCAGCTGCCCAGCCAGTTGACTTGCTATGTACAAAGATTTGTCCAACACGAAGCAAATTAATTGAAAGTTGACAGGATCCTGTTTTCTCTGATCTCTTTCGGTTTGTTGGAATCTGAGATATTACTTATAACAGCAGTTCATAAAAACATTCAGCTTGAATTGCTCAGGAAAACACATCTCCTTGCTCGTGTCAGAATGCAATTGGTAAATTGTTTCAATCTTGTATTCCCAGTGTTTTGATGCTGGCCCTCTGGAGAATGACCTTTCTGAATTTTATTCCACACCCCAGTTTTTGGATCTCGGAGAAGGTAGGAAATACTAGGCGTCTGTGAAACAAAGCAAGGAGCCCCTGGTTCCATTCCTGGGGTGGTCTGTGCCAGGGCTCTTGGCAAACCACGTACGTTAGTTCCTGTGGCAGAAGACCATGTGTATAGGTAGCACCCAGTCAGGGTTTACAGAGGCATTTACTGCTCAGGAGAACTAATTGATTTGTTTAAAGTTGTGCCTGCCGCCGCCCCCCCCCCCCCCCCCAGCTCTGTAAAGTGTGAAATTGGTGAAGAGAGCAATGCAGCTGTGAGTGGCTCTCTGTCTCCAGAGCACTGTCCTGCGGTGGGGCTGGGGTTAGGTGGGTGCTTTCTGCTTGTTCAGATAGAGGTTTCTCAGTGCAGTTTTTCTCCTGAGATCCTGCCAAGTTGTTACTGATGGTGAGTTTTTGGGGGATACCGAGGTTTAGGGATTTCTCTCTCTCCTGAAAGCCAGTTTTTGAAAGCCCTGCATTTTGGAAGGGGAAGAGGCAGTGGGAATTTCCATACCTCCTTTAAAGATTTGCTTTTTCTCTGTCACCTGTCATGATGCAGGTGCCAAGCCAGCACGTTACATGCTGCTGTGACTGAATACGGACAGTGGATATTGTGCACTCAGCAATAGCTCTCGAGTTGCCAGGAGTAATGCCCTGGACTCCTGATTTTGATTGCTTTCATTTATCAAAAGATGGCAGTGCATCTTCTCTTTCCTGTGGGCAGTGGAGATACTGGACATACACACCTTCCATGGAAGGCAGCTTCTATAGTGCTCGGTGCCCCTGCAGGCCAAGGCCCAGGGTGCGATTCACACCCCTAGCCATTGGCCCAAAGTGAGGATGTTACTGAGGGTGTCTAGTGTGGCTGTTGTAGGGGGCCTTGTGCCACAGCGAGCCCTGCACCAGGCTCAGCAGGGGCCGGTCTGCCAGCAGGGAATTTTGGAGTTGTATTGCACTTTTTCCCTCCCTTGAGCCAAAGTCAAGGAAGTTTGAGTTGCAACACTTAGGGAAGGGGGACAATTAATCAGCATTTCGATTAATAACTTTAAAATCTCATGCATCCGATGAAGTGAGCTGTAGCTCACGAAAGCTGATGTTCGAATAAATTGGTTAGTCTCTAGTACTCCTTTTCTTTTTTAAAATCTCTAAACCTCTCGCAGTGCTTTGAGCTGGCTGCCGCGCTTCCTCGCTGGGGTCTCAGGGAGAGCAGGAATGGCTTTGAGTTTTTCTACTGCCGCGCCAAAACGAATCCCCATTTCCCAGGTCCATGCCCCCAGGAGGGGCTGCAGGAACAGGAGGTGTCACCAGTATAGCCATTGGGAACTGCATTCCAAGGCATTGCCTGCAGGCTTGTACTGGACCTAGCCTCATTATCCATTAGTGCAGTGGGACAAGTTTGGAGCTTCCTAGCCTGAACTGCAGAATTCACTGCACTGCTCATGGCCAGGAGAAGCATTACTTCTCCGTTGTCTTGACACATGTCTCTCCCATCAGCTCCTGACAGACTCCCTGAGAAGCAGAGAAAGCGCAAGAGACAGCGATACTCCCCAGCTACAGCGCAGTACAAGAAAGGAAGGAGTGAAGATGCACTGGGGGAAGCTCCCAGTTCTGAGGTACTGCTAGTCCTTCTAGGTGTTGCAAACTTTATCAAGGAACCCTTTAACCTCTCCTCTCCTTCTTCAGAGTATCCTCTGAAAAACAAACTCTGCAGCATTTGATTGGCTAAATGGGAGAGAAGCGTTTAAATTGTTCTGAGTTTAAACGGAATGTATCACTTTGAATTAGCAGCTGTTTTTTAAAGGCCATTGAAGCTTGGGCTTAATTTGGGGGCTATTGCTCAGCTAATTTCACCGTGAGAGAGGGTTCCAAGCAATGACAGAGCGGAATTTCATCTGGCGTTTTGCTTTGCCAGTTTGGAAGGTTTTTCATTCAATTGAAAGGCCGTGGCTGCTGCAGCGGGGAATGCTGCCTTCTTGCACACTGATAAGCAGAACGAACTCTGGAGCGTGGGCACCACATGCTGCAGTCGCCTCTTGTCTGCGTTCTGCACTCCAGCATTAGCTGCAGAGTTGTGGAAGAGGATATTGAGAACCACTCGTGAGGTCAGGGCTCTTGGTTGCTTTCTGGCAACCCCTTGTTAGAATTCTGCCCTCAATCCAGAGGTCAGAGTTGGGGTGTTTCCCCTGCACCAGTGGGTCACTCCCTCTTTGGATATGTGAAAGCACCCTGCCAGAGACCGCTCATAACAGTATCTCTGACTGCCACATTTTGCCTTTTAGGAATGAGCCAGGTCTCCCCAAGACATGTCCTGGGAGAGGAGGGAACCTCTAGGCCTCCCACTTCAAATGGCTCACCTTGAACAACACCCAGTGCTGGCAGGATGTATGTTAGGAGCCAGCTGTAGGCATTTCTTATCACTGTGTTGCTGTAATGGCTCCCAGTGGTTCACAGCTGTTCACCCGAGCAAGGCTAACCCCTCTGCTGCTCACTGCCATGGCAGTCTCCACTGGTGCAGTACTGGTGTGGGGACAAGCACGGGTGTGCAGGTCACCCTCCCGCCGCTTCCTCACAGGGCCCCAGGCACGGCCGCGGTGGCCTTTCGGCCGTACTTTCTGCTGGCCTGGGAACAAGTTTTCCGAAGACCTGTACAGCTCATTGTGTGCTGTTCCCTGCCAGCTTCCACTTGCTTGTGATTGCTGTGTGTTCTGGCACGCCAGTTTCAGAGCAGGTCTCCTAGCAGCCATGGTGTGAGCATGCTGCCAGCTGGCCGGAGAGAAATGTCTGGACCCTTGCGAGTGTCTAGGGTGACAAGGAGATCCCGTCGCAACTGAGCTCTGTAATTCAGAGTGACCTGGACTGTGAGTGGGTATCCAAATAGCTTGCCAGCAGGGTAACCCTCACTCCGGTGCACAGTGTGGGGAGACTGACCTGAAGGTCCAGGACAGCAAAGTGTGGAATAATAACAGCTGCTCCAAGGCAGAGGAAACCTGCCCCTTTCATGCTGAACAAGACTGTATTTTCTGCACTCACCCTCCTGTGAAACCTGATGTTGGAGCGCCAGGCGGGGTGGGGTGACAGCTCTGGCGTGGGCAAGTCCAGGATATGGCTCAGGCCATGCCTGTGAACATGCCAGACTCCCCAGGACTCTTCAATGAATCGTAAGCTGCAGAGACAGCGGCAGAAGGTTCAGGAAGAGATGCCTGCCCTTTGTACGAGGTACGTGGTTGTTATTTATTCTCACTGACCAGGGCTGGTTTGGCAGATTCAGGGCCGAGGAGGGGGCAATGTGTCTGGTTCTTATGAGAAATGTTCAGCTGCAAACTCATGAGAGCGGAAGTCTCCCTTCCACAGTGCACATGGCGGCTTCCTGTGCCACCCCCTGCCCAGCTGGCTCTGCTCCACCAGGTTCAGCCGCCCCTTCTACATTTGTCTGTGTGGAGCATTATTCCAAGCTGGAGCAGAAGTCCCAAGCCCTCAGCATACAGTGACTGGCTTAGCCATGCATGTGCCTGGACTCAAAAGGGCAGCCAAGCAGGATGGGTTTTTAGGTCAAACCCTGAAATATAGGAGATGTCCTGGCAGGAGCGTTCTATTGCAGTAAACCAAACCACACCTGGGGCAGCATGGCCCCACACAGGCTACATTGTCTCTGTTGGCCCCGCACCAACGCAGTGCACTATTTACTTATCTGCAAACATGGGGCAGTAATCCAACAGAGAACTTTCCTCCAGATTTCAGAGCAGTCTCTGGTAATCTTTGCACAGCTAGGTGGCTGGCCTTACTAATCAGATCAAGTGTAATACTAACTTCCAGATCCCTCAGGGAAATGCATAGTGCCTCTCCGGCTCCTTGAACATGTCCTCCTGTGTTATCCAGGAGAATAATCCAAGTCCTTGCCCTCGCTTGCTCAGATAGGTCCTATGAGTGGCACTGGAATCCCAAGGTGAGCAGAAACCAGAACTATTGCATTCCTTGGTATTCCAAGGGTTTCCAGTGTCAGTAAACCTATTAACCCTCTTCTTTGTTACAGGAACCACTGCTGCATTGCTGAGCAGGAGGGGGATCAGGCGTCTGAGAACATCAGCGGGCTAAATGCTTCACCAGACCTTGGGGGGAAATGGAGAACAAAAGGATCTGACCCTGGAGCTGCAGGGGGATGTGCAAAGGGGACTCTGCACCTATGTGCAGCTTCCAGGCAGAAGCCAAGTGGGGGAAGAGGACAGAGACTCTGAAGTAATACGTCCCTCATGGCAGAGAAAGGAGGAGGCAGGAGCAAGCATTCCAAAGGGAATGAACGCCTGAGAAAGCACATCCAAAGACACAGGCAATTAGTGCCATTATCCCATTAGCAGGCCCCTGCATCTGACGTGTACATACCACCTCCTCATACAGTGCTGCGGTACAGGATGGTGGCAGCTCGTTTTGGTCTGTGCCATACTGGTCTGTTCCTTCCTGTGCATTTCCATGGCATTCCATCTCTGCCAACAAACTGGACAGAGTGACTCAGGCTCCCCGGGACATGCATTCGTACCCCTGTCGTCCGCAGAAGTGCCTGGTGTGTAGTATTGTGGTTTTGATCTAGTTTGTTGTTGCTGCTGGGCTTCCACTTTTGTGTGCTTAATAAACATGATTTGCTCCATTTATCTCTGTCCCATACTTCAGTGTGCCATCAGTGCATCCCTACTTCGCTCCAGAACTCCTCCCTGCAAACTCCTGCCCGGTTAAAAATGGCTGCAGTGATGGAGAAACGCACGAGCAAAGGAGGCAGTGACTAGGACTGCAGATCTCTCATGGTGTTTTTTAAATCAAAAATCACAGAGCAGCCATGGGAAATGTAGTAAGAACCAAAGGGGTCTGGGGAAATGGTGTGTAAAGTCACAGGTTGGAAAAGTCAACTCTCTGTAGCTCTTTATATAAAATACGCATTTTTTCAAATATTCAGGTTCAAACCACTTTGTCAGTGGTTCCCGAACTTTTTAGCATGGTGACCCACCAACTTCATATTGTCTTTTATTGTGCCCCACCCAGGGTCCAGATTCCTGAGGGAGTCCTCAGCAGGCCAGAATCCTTCCCTCTGCTGCTGCCCCACCCCTCCTTGCCCTCCTGAGGGGACGCTGACCACCCACAACAGCACCCTCTGCTTCTGCACCACAACCCTAATCCTGGCCTGGTGAGGAGGAGAGGGCCCCAGGGAGGGGGTCTGGAAATTGAACCCACCCTGCATTCACCCTCCAGCAACAGCACCTGTCTGCTTGGCTTCCCCTTCCAGCCACTGCAAACTGGTGCAGGGGTTGCAGTGCCTCTCAGGTTTGGCCCAGCCGCTCCTCGGTCATGATAACAGAGCGGCACCGGGCCAAATTTGAGTGAGTGGCATCGCAACCCTGAGTGTCTGTTAGTTTGCAGTGCCACTTACTCAGATTTGGCTCAGCTGCCTCTGTCATAATAGAGGGTGGCCGGACCAAACTTGAGCAGCGCTGCAAACCCATGCACCAGGTTGCAGTTCCCATAGCAGGGAGCCAGGTTGAGCCTCATGGGACAGGAGCCCCTGCTGCAGGATAAGCTCTCCAGGGCTCCCCCTCAGCTCCACACCAGCTCAGCAACCCAGCATTTGGGAAACCCTGCTTCAGTAAAGTCTCAGACACAAAGAAAAGTCCTAGCCAAATAGAAAAATCACGGTACAGACACCCCCCAACTTACGCAATCGTTCGGTTCCGGAAAGCCTTGCGTAACTCGAATTTTGCATAGGTCAGAAACGTATACCCGTATGTTATGCAAAAATTTCCGCAACTCAAAAATCCTTATTTCTGGCTTATGGAACTTTTTCCGCATGTGCGAATTTGCGTAAGTCGGGTCTTGCGTAACCTGGGGAGCGTCTGTATCTGTGACATTGTGACCACCATGACAAACCTGCAGCCTGAGCAATGGTACTTAACAGCAGGGAATGCTGACATTTGCACACCTCAACGTAATCCATCCCCACTGTTTTCTCTGCCCAGACAAAAGGTGTGGTCCCAGCATCTCAAGGTTTGTTTGCACGCGAAGTGCAAGTCACCGCTTTGGGTGGCATTGCTTTTCAGTCTGGCTGCGAATGATTGCTGCAAGAATACCTCATCCTTTGCAGAATACAGCAGACAGCTGTGACGGGACTCGTGATCCTGACTGTCCTGACATGTCAGCAGCACCGTCGTCTTGCTTTGAGCTTTCCAAATGCACACTGGACCACCACTCTGTGCCTTCTGAGGGTGCAGATGAACCACCATCTGAGTGCCTGTGCTCAGTGTATGGCTTGGTGAGCAGCGGGTATGCAGTGATTCTGTGACACCTCACTGTCTATGCTGTGGGAAGAGTGTGAGTCTGTCTGCTTCTGAAAAGAACAGAGTTCTCAGAAATCCTTATGTGATGCACGTGCCAGGCCATCTTATTGCCTGTCAGAACCAGGTACAGGGCTCCCCTAGGGCTTGCTGACCTTGGAGTGACAGCTCTTCTGGGTTAGATGGGAATGGGCACAGGATAGGCACGTACAATACACCTGCGCTCCAGCAAAGTTCAGTGAGCCGAATTGCTCAGATCCCTCAGTGATCTCAGGCACGTTTGCCATCTTGATCCCATACCCCTGCAACACTTGGGGTATTGCCATGCACGGCTTCATCCCCATGGCACCCCCGGGATGTTCCCAACCTCAGGCAGTACCCAGTGGACCAGTAGCTCTCCAGGGGACCTGCTTCCATAGGATAATTGGAACTCTCCTTTCCTTGGGGTCTGCTGCTGCAGTGTGGGGGCCAGCTCCCCACAGAGATGCAGACAGGCTCTCCTTCCCAGACCCGAAGAGTAGCTCTGTGTAAGCTCGAACGCTCTATTCTCTCTCCCCCTCGCAGATGGGGCCAATAAACGATATTACCTCCCCCACCTTGTCTCTCCGCCCTGATGGGCAGCAGGAGCTGCAGAACTCTCCAGTCTCGGACCTTGCAAGGACCTGGTGACTCAGCTCACCGAGGGATGTGCTGGGTTCTCGTCACTTGAAGTCTTTAAAGCAAGATTGGATTTTTTCTGAAAGATGCTTTAATGCCACCGGCAGTTGTGGCCTGTGCTCTGCAGGAGATCATGCTAAACGATCGGAAGGGCCCCGTCTGGCTTTAGAATCTAGGCTTGCAGGTGGATGCAGAATAGAACTGCACCCTAAAGGAGATGGCTGGGATGACTTGCTGCCCTGGCGCAGCTCCACTGGATCGGTTACCAGCAATCTGGTTCTCTAGCATCGCTTCAGCCAACACCCCCAGTTAAAATAGTGTCAGTGTGTTCCTGGCGCTCTGATACGCAGAATGAAATAATGGTTGCTTTGACCATGCTCTGCTCATTTGCATCTCATCCAGTGGAGTGTGTACGCAGTGCCTTGGGGAAGCTTTCTGGGCCATATCGGCGGCTACAGGACTGTTCTGGCACCAAACTGAGTGTTTCTATTGGGTCAGGTTGGGGCAGAATTAATCCAAAGAGAGAGCCCCAGGAAGAGGGGTCGTGGGCAGCAAGCGAGCCAAATTGAATACCTGGGGTTAAAGCGCAAACCAAAGCTTCCTCCCTCATAAAACCTCAGAGCGGAACAGTGCAGAGGGCATTTTCCCCAGGGCATGAGGGGCCCGCTGCAGGCAGGATGAGAGTTAAAGGCACTGCTTGCAGCCCAGCTGAAAACCTGTATGTGCTTGATAGCCAAACTAACAGCCCAGAGGGTGGGCCAGGAAATACTGACAGTCCAAATTCTGGATTTCTTTTCTAAAGGGAGAGATACCTATCCATGGGAGTGCTGCAAGCCCCAAGGAGCTCAATGAGGATGGGTCTGAGAATGACCATGGAGTGCCTTCATCCAAAAAGATGCAGGGGGAGCGAGGAGGAGGAGCAGCCCTCAAGGAGAATGTGTGTCAGGTAGGGAGCTACGGTCTTTGGGTGAACCTTCATAACACTGACAGTGGTGTTGAGCAACTGTGCAGCACACTTAATACCCTGGCTAACAAAGCAACCTCAAAGCAGATCTGATTAACTAATGTTCTCTGGATCCTTGGTGATGGGCCCCTCTTGTCAGGAGACTTGGCTGTCCAGTTATTCCTGTGCCTTGCACTGAATGGACACTTCCCTTGTGTGTAGATGCGGCATGACTGCTCTGCAGTGCCCGTCCCTCCTGCAGCAGGCTCCGGGTGCATATCCCTGCGGCGGTGGGGTGGGAGCTGGGTGGCTGGGAATGACGTGGGGCGTATTTAAGCCATTGCTTCACAGCAGGGACTCAGGGGGAGGTAGTGGTGCTGGTGTGAAGGGATTTCCGTAGGGTGTCCTTGCGGCAGGCTCAGCCAGCCTGCCAGCTGCATTCCTTGTGTGTATCCAGCCAGGGGTTTGTCCCAGCAGTAACGCCGTGTTCCCTCCCCACACAGATCTGTGAGAAGCCGGGGGAGTTGTTGCTGTGTGAAGCGCAGTGCTGTGGTGCTTTCCATCTGCAGTGCCTCGGGCTCTCAGAAATGCCGAAGGGCAAGTTTATCTGCAATGAGTGTTCGACAGGTATGGGGCTGGGTGGGAGGGCAGGCCGCTTGCTGGGTGCTCGTGTGGGGCTGCTTTCAAGTGTGCCATTGGCAGAAGGCATGAGTTGAGCTCGCTTTGCTCTTGGGACAAATGGCCAGGGCCAGAGAGCGTGGAGGGGGCTGGGAAGCTGTGCAGTCCAGGCTGGGGGCTCATAAGGAGCCAGCCAGTCTGGCCGGAGGTGGTAACTTTTGCTTTGAGAGAGCTCCTTCCCTTTTGCCATGTGACCGGTGTTCTCTCCTCCAGGCGTCCACACCTGCTTTGTGTGCAAGAGCAGTGGGGAGGACGTGAGGCGGTGCTTGCTGCCCTTGTGCGGGAAGTACTACCATGAAGAGTGTGTGCAGAAGTATCCACCCACGGTCATGCAGAACAAGGGCTTTCGATGCTCACTGCACATCTGTATGACTTGTCATGCTGCTAACCCCGCGAACCTGTCTGCGTCTAAAGGTACAGAAACCCTTCTGTGCCTGCAGTTGCTGGGGCTGGTCAGGGAGAAAAGGCGGGAGCCCCTTTCTTGCATCCAAAGCAGGCGTAATTCTGGAGCACTTTGAGGTGCTTGGTGTCTCCCGCCCAGTGCCTGTTCTTCAGTCTTCCATCATGTGACATTTGCTGTGGGCTGTGTAAATCTGGTCCTCAGGGGAAGGTGCTGGACCGTGAACTTGCTGCTCTCTAGCTAGGCCATATCCACGCAGTGCCTGGGCTCTGACTCAGGTGTGAGTCAAAAACCCTGCTCTGTCCACGCACACATATCAATCAGCCTGACTCAGGACCCGGGTCCTAGGACCCTGCTGTGTCGTGGGGCTGAGCTCAAGTCCCGGTGAGACTCCGGTGCACTCGATGTCAGTTTGCAGTGTGGACACAGACCTGAGTCAGAAGGTCTGTGTGGTTCAAAATGGACACGCTAGCATGGCTGAGAGCCGGGTCCAGCGATTGTACCCACAGCTTTACAGTGCAGTGTGGATGCTTAGGCTGGGCCCATCTCCCTGCTCTGGATGTGGCAACCTGGTGCCCAGGACGGCGATCCCGTTCAGCTTTGTCTCAGCTGCTCCCCAGGTCAGGCCGGGCCAAAGCTGAGGCTTGGTCCACCCTCCAGAGTTAGGTCGACGTGATGTCAGTGTCTGCACCACAGAGCTGCTTCCGCTGCAGCACGTGGCCACTACACCGATACCCTAACTCCATCTCGGCGAGAATGTCGGTTTCCCTGCTGGTAGGCTCCCTGCTGTGAAAGAGACCCTGTGCAGGTTCGGGCTGTCAGCATGATTCGGGGGGGGCTGACAGCTGGGGGGAGCCATCTGTGGGCCCGTGCCATGTTGCAATGCCTGGAGCCTCTGCTGCAGGCTGTGTGCAGGACGGGCTCGCTCTCCAGCCCCTCTGCCCGGGGTGCAGCACCCACCATTGGGGCATGCTGTTCTATCAGTTAATTTAAACACAGGGACCGCGTTTTTGAGAAGCTGGCGTAATTAGAGGCAAGGTGTCCCTTAGCCAAGTGACCCATTTCACCCTTTGTTGTAAGCCGGAATATTGACAAAACTAAGTTCTAGGAGCAAATTATAATGGTCACTTTCCCTCAAATGTTTACCTGTGTCCAACCTTTACCACCACCAGGTCGCTTGATGCGTTGTGTTCGGTGTCCAGTGGCATACCATGCCAATGATTTCTGTCTGGCTGCTGGGACAGTGATCCTCGCCTCCAACAGCATCATCTGCCCCGCTCACTTCTCTCCCCGGCGGGGCTGCAGAAACCATGAGCACGTCAACGTCAGCTGGTGCTTTGTCTGCTCGGAAGGTGAGACCCTCTGTATTCTGCCTAGTGCATGGTGAGCACTGCGGGCCGGGGCCTGGGCCAGGGTGCGCTCGCCTCGCGGAGGATACGGGGCCCTGGGCCAGGCCAGGCCGGGCCGCTGCGCGCTCGCTCGCCCCGCGGGGGGATACGGGGCCCTGGGCTGGGTCGCTGCGCGCTCGCTCGCCTGCCCCGCGGGGGGATACGGGACCCTGGGCCGGGTCGCTGCGCGCTCGCTCGCCCGCCCCGCGGGGGGATACGGGGCCCTGGGCTGGGTCGCTGCGGGCTGGGTCGCTGCGTGCCGTGCCGCCGCGCGTTCGCTCGCTCGCCCGCCCTGCTGGGGGATATGGGGCCCTGGGCTGGGCCGGGCCGGGCTGCCGCCCGCTCGCTCGCTCGCCCCGCGGGGGGATATGGGGCCCTGGGCCGGGCCGGGCTGCCACGCGCTCGCTCGCCCCGCAGGGGGATACGGGGCCCTGGGCCGGGCCGGGCTGGGCTGGGCCGCCGCACGCTCGCTCGCTCGCCCCGCGGGGGGATATGCGGCCCTGGGCTGGGCCGCCGCACGCTCGCTCGCTTGCCCGCCCCGCAGGGGGATACGGGACCCTGGGCTGGGTCGCTGCGCGCTCGCTCGCCCGCCCCGCTGGGGGACACGGGGCCCTGGGCTGGGTCGCTGCGTGCCGGGCCGTGCCGCCGCACGTTCGCTCGCTCGCCCGCCCGCCCTGCTGGGGGATATGGGGCCCTGGGCTGGGCTGGGCCGGGCTGCCGCGCGCTCGCTCGCCCCGCGGGGGGATATGGGGCCCTGGGCCGGGCCGGGCCGGGCCGGGCCGCCACGCGCTCGCTCGCCCCGCAGGGGGATACGGGGCCCTGGGCCGGGCTGGGCTGCTGCGCGCTCGCTCGCCCCGTGGGGGGATATGCGGCCCTGGGCTGGGCCGCCGCGCGCTCGCTCGCCCCGCGGGGGATACGGGGCCCCGGGCTGGCTCGCTCGCTCGCCCGCCCCGCGGGGGGATACGGGGCCCCGGGCTGGCTCGCTCGCCCGCCCGCCCGCCCCGCGGGGGGATACGGGGCCCCGGGCTGGCTCGCTCGCCCGCCCGCCCGCCCCGCGGGGGGATACGGGGCCCCGGGCTGGCTCGCCCGCCCGCCCGCCCGCCCCGCGGGGGGATACGGGGCCCCGGGCTGGCTCGCTCGCCCGCCCGCCCGCCCCGCGGGGGGATACGGGGCCCCGGGCTGGCTCGCTCACCGCCGCCCGCCCGCCCGCGGGGGGATACGGGGCCCCGGGCTGGCTCGCTCGCTCGCCCGCCCGCCCCGCGGGGATACGGGGCCCTGGGCTGGCTCGCTCGCTCGCTCGCCCGCCCGCCCCGCGGGGGATACGGGGCCCGGGCTGGCTCGCTCGCTCGCCCGCCCGCCCGCCCCGCGGGGGATACGGGGCCCGGGCTGGCTCGCTCGCTCGCCCGCCCGCCCCGCGGGGGGATACGGGGCCCGGGCTGGCTCGCTCGCTCGCCCGTCCGCCCCGCGGGGGGATACGGGGCCCCGGGCTGGCTCGCCCGCCCGCCCGCCCCCGCGGGGGATACGGGGCCCCGGGCCGGGCCGCTCGTTCGCCCGCCCGCCCCGCGGGGGGATACGGGGCCCCGGGCCGGGCCGCTCGCTCGCCCGCCCGCCCCGCGGGGGGAGACGGGGCCCCGGGCTGGCTCGCTCGCTCGCCCGCCCGCCCCGCGGGGGGATACGGGGCCCCGGGCTGGCTCGCTCGCTCGCCCGCCCGCCCCGCGGGGGGATACGGGGCCCCGGGCTGGCTCGCTCGCTCGCCCGCCCGCCCCCGGGGGGGATACGGGGCCCCGGGCTGGCTCGCTCGCTCGCCCGCCCGCCCCGCGGGGGATACGGGGCCCCGGGCTGGCTCGCTCGCTCGCCCGCCCCGCGGGGGGATACGGGGCCCCGGGCCGGGCCGCTCGTTCGCCCGCCCGCCCCGCGGGGGGATACGGGGCCCCGGGCCGGGCCGCTCGCTCGCTCGCCCGCCCCGCGGGGGGATACGGGGCCCCGGGCCGCTCGCTCGCCCGCCCGCCCCGCGGGGGGATACGGGGCCCCGGGCCGGGCCGCTCGCTCGCCCGCCCGCCCCGCGGGGGGATACGGGGCCCCGGGCCGGGCCGCTCGCTCGCTCGCCCGCCCCGCGGGGGACGGGGCCCGGCCGTCGCTCGCCCCGGGGCCCCGGGCTGGCTCGCTCGCTCGCCCGCCCCGCGGGGGGATACGGGGCCCTGGGCCGGGCCGCTCGCTTGCTCGCCCGCCCCGCGGGGGGATACGGGGCCCTGGGCTGGCTCGCTCGCTCGCCCGCCCCGCGGGGGGATACGGGGCCCCGGGCTGGCTCGCTCGCTCGCCCGCCCCGCGGGGGGATACGGGGCCCCGGGCCGGGCCGCGTGCTCGCCCGCCCCGCGGGGGGATACGGGGCCCTGGGCCGGACCGCCGCTCGCTCGCTCCGCGGGGGATACGGGGCCCTGGGCCGGGCCGGGCCGGGCCGCGCTGCGCTGCCGCGCGCTCGCCCCGTGGGGGATGCCGGGCCCTGGGCCAGGGTGCGCTCGCCCCGCGGGGAATACGGGGCCCAGCCGGGGTGCCGCGCGCTCGCCCCGCAGGGAATACGGGGCCCTGGGCCGGGCCGTGCCGCGCCGCCTCGCGCTCGCCCTGGGCCGGGCCGGGGTGCCGTGTGCTTGCCCCGCGGGGGACACGGGGCCGGGCCGCTGTGCGCTCGCCCCGCGGGGAATACGGGGCCCGGCCGGGGTGCCGCGCGCTCGCTCTGCGGGGGATACGGGGCCCTGGGCCGGGCCGTGCCGCCTCGCGCTCGCCCTGGGCCGGGCCGGGGTGCCGTGTGCTTGCCCCGCGGGGGACACGGGGCCGGGCTGGGGTGACGCGCGCTTGCCCTGCAGGGGATACGGGGCAGGGCCTGGGCCCGGGCGCCGCGCACTCGCCCCGCAGGGGATATTGGGCCGGGCCTGGGCCGGGGTGCCGCGCGTTTGTCCCGCGGGGTATACGGGGCCGGGCCAGGCCCTCGCTGGGGTGCCGCGCGCTCGCCCCGCGGGGGATACGGGGTGGGGCCTGGGCTGGGGTGATACCGCTCGCCCCGCAGGGGATATGGGGTGGGGCTTGCGCTGCGGAGCCAACTGTCAGCCTGTGCCATGGGGTGACGTCACTTGCCCCGTGGGAGATATGGGGTGGGGCCTGTGCTGGGGAGACGTGCACTTGCCCCGCGGGGAGTACGGGGCAGGGCCTGTACTAGGGTGACACCCAGTTGCCCGGTGAGAGATACAGGGTGGAGCTTGCGTGGGGGGTGCCCAAGGTAGAGACCTAATACAGGAACCAGCTACTTAGCAGGAAAATACTACTGAGGACAGATCAGCTTGGGGCCCCCATTCTCGTCCAATGTCAGGTCAAGGTGTCTGTCTTGCTCTCATCAAGCCTCATTGAATTAGGGTTGGTTTGTGTTAGAGACCGCCGTTCCACACACTGGGCAGCTGTGCTCCCAGGTCTCTGTATCCAGGCTGGGAGAAGCTGCTCAGGGCAGGAAATGAGATAATATTCTTGATGGAAGGACTTTGCCACTGGAACAGCTTCGCAGAAGAGCCGAAGTCTGTTTTCAGATGTGGTTGCACCTAGTCTTCCTGCAAACGCCTTCCTGCAGGTACCCCAGGAGATGAGACACAGCCTCAGCTGCATGTGGCCATTGCTGCCAGGCCTGAGTGAGGTGAAGGGTACAGAGCGCAAAGCCTGTAGGCTACTGTAACCCTGTTTTGAGGGCCTTCAGTGGTGCGTAGGCATTGGCCTGGCCCTCTGCATGGCCCTGTGCTGCTACTTGGCAGAGATGGAGAGATCGGGTGCCTGGGCAGATGGACCAAGCTTTGTGCAAGAGCCTTGTTCCTCTTCCCGGCAGTTTGAATCTGTCTGGGAGCCTAGGGTGCAGTGTTTCTGTGATGTGGCTCTCACTGCTGTATCGCTCCTGGATGCAGGGGGCAGCCTTTTGTGCTGTGAGTCATGCCCAGCTGCTTTTCACCGCGAGTGTCTGAACATCGAGATGCCTGAGGGAAGCTGGTACTGTAACGACTGCAAAGCTGGCAAGAAACCACATTACAAGGAGGTGGTCTGGGTAAAAGTTGGGCGCTACAGGTGGGTAAAAATAAATGTGGTTCCTGTCCATGTTAAAGCCCTTCCTCGTGCAGCGCGGACTATGCGGGGGGCTCTGGAGAGTGCTGGTTTCTACTCAGGGTTATGCAGCTGGGTCTGTTTTTAATTCCACATAGGCACCTGATAGTAGAGTGCACCATTCCTCCCCGTTCTTTCCCTCTTCCAGCTGCTGCTTTTCTCTTCCCCAAGCCAAGCTTCTGCCCATTACTGCTGTTTTGTGTGAAGTACTGGAAGCCCCAGGAAAGTTCCTTTTCTCCTTCTCAGTGCCCCTACAGAATGGAAAATCACTGTTGCCAGCTTTTAGGGGCAGTGATGTCAAAGCTTTGACCTGCTTTTCCTGTCCCTATCCCCTGTGACAGGTGGTGGCCAGCTGAGATTTGCCATCCTAGAACTATCCCTGTAAACATCCAAAAGATGAAACATGACATTGGCGAGTTTCCTGTGCTGTTTTTTGGGTCCAACGATTACCTCTGGACGCACCAGGCTCGGGTGTTTCCCTACATGGAAGGCGATGTGAGCAGCAAGGACAAGATGGGCAAGGGAGTGGATGGCATTTATAAGAAAGGTAACACTTTCCTCGTGCTCTAGGGAGGCACTAGCTGTCTGCTCTGAGATTGTTTTGGGCCAGTTCCTCTATGGTCCCATGAAGGGTGTGGAAAAACGATGGTCCTCCCATAGTCAAGGTTGAAGCAAGGCTTGCAGAGCACCTCTGGTTTATGCCTCATACCCATAAGTGAACCCACCCAGAAGATTCAGTGGTCTGAGCTTATGCCAGGGGAACAAGAGACACCCAGCTCCTGAATGCCAGTTTATTCCAGTTCTGCCACAAACTCTGTGAACTTGGCTGAACCACTGCCACTGTGCCTCAGGGCCACCATTTGTAACGTGAGAGTAATGAACATACATAAAACGTTGTTGCAAAGCAGTTTAGAATTGCTAAATACACCATACACCTAACACAACTGCTCAAGGACAAGGGAAGCCACTAACAATACATACTGTAGTCCTCCAGCCACAGGCACCCACCTTACATGACTGCAACTACTGTGTGCCCCTTTAGTCTGGCCTTTTCCAAACTACCTCTTCCCGATTGCTGCTTGTGGGTGTTCAGCGCAGCGGTGTGTTGTGCTGGAGGGGACCCTGTGATACAAGCAGTGATGGAAGGCTAGCATCTCAGGGGGCAGAATTAATAACGCCTTCGCTCCCCAACTCCCTCAGTGGGGCTGCTAATGCTTCCAACTTGGTTACTAGTAGCTCTCTTCAGTGACACCTCTTATGGGATGCTGTTATTCCACCTGCGGAACATCTTTCTTTTGGGCAAGGTAGAAGGCCACTGGAGCGTGGCCTGTCCATTCAGAACCATGCATACAAACAACTGAGCACAAATGTGGCCATGGAGAATATTCAGGCTGTTTGACTTCAACAGTAGCGCAAGGGGCTTCTTGTAACACAGCGTCTGTTTTCTTTCAGCTCTGCAGGAAGCTGCTGTGCGGTTTGAAGAGCTGAAGGCACAGAAAGAACTGAGGCAGCTGCAGGAAGACAGAAAGAATGATAAGAAGCCTCCTCCCTACAAACATATCAAGGTGAGGACATCACATCATCACCAGCTGGTGGGCGCTAGAGGGGAGGCCTGGGTCATAAGCTCTGAGCTGTTGGTGCAGGATATTTACAGGCACACAGAAATGCCTTTGCTGCTTGCAGTGTCCTGCACTGTGGAGCATGCCTTTGAAGGCTGATTCGCGACCCGCAGGGAGGATTGACAGGAAGGTTTTCCGCTTCCAGCAATGTCCTGAAGCACTTCATCTGTCCTCTCTGCTACCTGAATTCATATAGCAGCTGTTGTGTCACTGCTGGACATCAGTAACAGAGGTGCTCTGATTTACTGAGACATCTCTGGGCATCTTTACATCGCTACAGACCAGTCATATACAGTCACGGAAATGTCTCTCTCCCATGTGGGTTTAGCTAGTGGTGAAGGAAAAAACAGTTGTGTGCAGTTGTGTCCCAACCCACTGTTTGAGAACCAAGAAGTGGGTCTTGGGGATTCGGAGGACAGCTCTAGTTATAGGTGAGTAACCTACTGGTGTTCATTGCGGAGGGGTGGATTCAGTGGGATTGCAAGTTGGTACAAAGAACCGCAAAGGGCTTTTCTCAAGAGAGCATCTCTTTATTGCCTGCCTTTCAGAGTTCCTTGCCTTTAACCAAATCAAAGGCCCCGCTTGTGCTAAAAACAAGCCAATCTCTTCTTCATGTGATGCAGCCCTCTACCTCCTCACAGAGATGCTTTTAAAGAGCTTCCTGGCTTAACTCTGAGTTTCAGAATGGGCCTTCAGATCCCAGCCTTGTCTGGTTACTCTTGCCTTTACGCATGCAAGATAGTTGGGTGGGGAGTTAACTGCTTGTTTTCCAGTGCTCAGCAGATTCCCTGCACCTGTCACAGATGTGCAGTCCGGGTGGTGGATGGCAAAGAACTGTTGGAGGTAACTGCTTTAAAACCAAGAGGCCAGAACGCGAAGTTGCGTTAAGGCCTGTCACTAGAGAGTGCAGAACGTGCTGTTTCACACGGAAGATGCGTGGGGCGTGCCGCAGACTGGCAGTGGCGGCGAGAGTGGTAAAGCAGCACCTCCTGAGTGCAGTCAGAGGTTGGGGTGAATGGAGTTAGAGGGATGCCTACAAGTTAAGTATATGCTTGGACCTGTGTGGCCTTCAGTCTTCGCTGTAACTGGTTTGCTCAGTGGGTGTGATGAAATGCAGCGTTGATTGTTCCTTGTCATGCTGTTGTTTCCTAGCTAGCTAACCTTGTGTGTGTGCATTCCAAGGTAAACAGACCAGTGGGCAAGGTGCAGATCTTCACAGCAGACCTGTCTGAGATACCCCGATGCAACTGCAAACACACAGATGAAAACCCCTGTGGCCTGGACTCAGAGTGCATCAATCGCATGCTGCTGTATGAGTGCCACCCCCTGGTCTGTCCCGCGTGGGGGCGCTGTCAGAACCAGTGCTTCTCCAAGAGGCAGTACCCAGAGGTGGAAATCTTCCGCACGCTGGCACGAGGCTGGGGCTTGCAAGCCAAAAGGGACATTAAGAAGGTACCCATTATGTGTTTTCATTTTACTCTGTGCTAACACTGAGCCCGTCTTAATAGACATCTTCCTGTGGTTCCATAACTTACGTGTTGTCTGACCAAAGGAGCCCCTAGAGAAGAGAAATGGATGACTTTAGTTTCCTGACCTGCTTTCATCCAGGCGGCAGGGATGTTCTAGCTTCCCTGGGGAAGTGCCTTGGGATCCAATAATCCCCATGGTAGTCTAGAAGACGGTTCAGTCCATCTGCTTATATGGCCCTCAGACACTAAAGTGATGGGCACTAAGGTAGCAGTTCTTAGACTGGGTTGAGATTTCTCAGACAAGGAGCACTGAGCTTCCATTCTGGAACCTCCAGGCATTCTTCACATGGGGATCTTACTTAAAAACCCAGGTCATAATTAGTGTCTGTTGGGGAAGCCCTCAGACCGAGGGCAGTGTCTTTGGGAGAGCTGTAGTGATGGCTGAAGCTAGCATATCTGGATGTGGGGAATCCCCCTACTAGCCAAACCACTATCGTTCTAAAATCCAGAAGTCTAGATCTGCTGGTGGTCAGAGGGGTTTTCTCCATAGGAAAGAGGGTTTGTGTTAAACAACAAAGGAAAGCAGAGAACAATTAAGTTGAATAGAAGACAGACACATTGTATGTGTAAGGGCTGTTAGACTGCAGAACAGGTTAGCAAAGGCGAGGTTGGCATCTCCAGAGAGAGGAAGGCCAAACTCCGTCCCTGACCTGGCCTCGGTGGGCTGCCTTAACTGCTGATCGTTAGTGATGCAGTGTAGGTGGTTATCCCTGAAAACCTTCCATGTAACCTGTCTGTAACCACCAAACAAGGAACCAGTGAAACTCAGATGCTGAAATGGGGGTGTCTTTTGGTAAAAGTGGTGCGGCATTGTACTCATTGTGTTTGGTGGCCTCTTGAACAGGTTTTACTGTGTGGGATAAATGTCAGCAGTGTTCAAACCAGATGCCTTGTGCTCTGCGATGTTGCAAAGCTTGTTGCAGGGTTGTGTTCCAGGACCCAGGCTGTGTATCAGTTCTGCCAACAACTCCTGTAGTTCAGTTATGGAGCAGGTGTCAGTACAGAATTCGGTAACGCACTAAACCCAAATTCACTTTGCTTTATGCTGTCCCTAAATGTTTTATTTTCAAATAGAACAGGGGGTAACGTGTGACTATATTATTAACGGTCCTATTTAGTTTACTGAATACGTTTTTTGAAATTTATGAAGCTGCTGCGGAATCTAGGTGAAATGTGCTGCAAAGTACCTGGGGTCTAGTCGTTAATGAAACGAAAGTATCCAGAGAGGAAATGGATAGCAAGCTTTGTTAGCCCAGAAGTGTCTTCCTCCCCCAAAGAGTTCTGCTTCCATCAGTAGCAAGACCTGAGCAGCTGCCTGTTCCTTTTTCTTGGGCAGGGTGAGTTTGTTAATGAATACGTGGGAGAGCTGATTGATGAGGAGGAGTGTCGGGCACGAATCCGCTACGCACAGGAGCACGACATTACCAACTTCTATATGCTGACTTTGGACAAGGTACGTGATGGGCCTCTCTCTTGCCAGTATCTTAGACCAGTGGCTCTCAATCTTTCCAGAGTACTGTACCCCTTTCAGAAGTCTGAAATAAATAGGATGAAATTCAGTAAGGACAAATGCAAAGTACTACTCTTAGGAAGGAATAATCAATTGCATAAATGCAAAATGGGAAATGACTGCCTAGGAAGCAATATTGCAGAAAGGGATCTGGGGTTATAGTGGATCACACGGTAAATATAAGTAAACAATAGAATACTGTTGCAAAAAAAAATAAAAGCAAACATCATTCTGGGGTGTGTGAGCAGGAGTGTTGAAAGCAAGACACAAGAACTAATTCTTCCACTCTACTCAGCACTGATAAGGCCTCAGCTGGAGTATTGTGTCCAGTTCTGGGCACCACACTGTGGAGAAAGTCCAAAGAAGAGCAACAAAAATTATTAAAGGTGTAGAAAACATGCCCTATGAGGAAAGATTAAAAAAATTTGGTTTGTTTAGTCAGGAGAAGAGAAGACTGAGAGGGGACATAAGTCTTTTAGTACATAAACAATTATTATAGGGAGGAGGTGATAAATAGTTCTCCTTAACCTCGGAGGATAGGACAAGAAGCAATGGGCTTAAATTGCAGCAAGGATGGTTTAGGTTGGCGATTGGGAAAAACTTTCTGACAGGGTGGCTAAGCACTGGTACAAATTACCCCGGGAGGTTGTGGAATCTCCATCATTGGAGGTTTTCAAGAGCAGGTTAAACAAACACCTGTCAGCGGTGGTCTAGATCAGCGGCTCTCAAACTTTTAGCAACCTGAGGACCCCCATTTTTATGTAAATTTTTTTGCTAACCCCCAAGTCCCTGCTCAGCCCCAGACCTCGCCCACTCCCCCAAGGCCCCACCCCTGCTCAACCTCTTTCCGCCCCCTCCCCCGAGCGCTCTGTCCCCACTCCTTCTCCTCTCTCCCAGCGTCTCCTGCACCCGGTGAACAGCTGTTCCCCAGTGTGTGGGAGGCACTGGGAGGGAGGGGGAGGAGTTGATCGGCGGGGGTCCGCAGACCCCCTGGAGTACCCTCGCGGACCCCAGTTTGAGAAATGCTGGTCTAGATAATACCTAGTCCTGCCTCGGTGCAGGGGATGGGACTAGATGACCTTGAGAGGTCCCTTCCAGGCCTATGATTCCATGATTCCCCAGTGCTCAGATATGATGGTCACAGGGGCCATATAGGCAGACAGGCAATAGGGTTTCTCTAAATAGGATTTCTGCTCTTAATGGCTCTCTATTCTTGGGTCCATGGTGGATCCGCCCAAAGTGTCTCAGGCCACCCCTGCTAAGATCCTGAGGCTGTCTTCTGTTCACCAGAGCATATTTCCCTTCTGGCTATGGTCAGAGAAGGAGCCTGCTGGGACTGTAACTTTCTGATTGTCAACTCACAGACCTCGCAGCACTGCTCCCCTCCCCCATTGCACCCTTTGTCTACTCTCCAGCCTCAGGTCTTGGCTTCGTGCACTGTTCGTTGGTGGCGATATCTGCCCCAGCAGAGCTGTATTCTCCGGTTGTCTTTGGAGCAACTGTAGAGGTGTCCAACTGCTTCTGGACTGTCAAGTTTTCCCACACTGCACCATGAACAAAGGGCGAGAGCAGCCACATTTTGGAAGGGTGCTTGGACTCGGGCCCACGTAATGCAGTGTAGACGCTGGAGGCCCAAATGAGTTCAAACCCTAGGTTAACAAACCTAGAGTCTGCTAACTCGAGTTCTGCTAATCCTGGGCTTACACTGCAGTGTAGACAGACCCTTAGGGCACTGTTCGGGAGCACAGGATTCCACAGCTCCAGGCCTCCCTTGATCACAGGTGTCAGAATAGTGCTCAATAGCACGCTCTGCTCTTGTTCCACTATTAGGTGCATCATTGAGCTTCTGAGACTCGTCATGACTTGAATTCAAAGCACCTGAGCACCAAGCAGAGACTTGGGTCATAGCTGTGGGCTTCTCTGCACTCTTGCTGTCTTGCCTGCTTCTCTGTCCTTCTCTTTTGCCTTTCAGAGACAGCAGAAGTATCTCAGGAGCTTTAAAGTGCAGCCATGCAGTGTCTCTCTGCACAGGCATGCCTCATGCGTGGTGTCTCAAGGCCCTCACTGAGAGACACTCGCACCTGCCTCCACGAGCAATCAGGTCCCAGAGTGAGCCCCTCAAAAGTCCTCCTGGGCTTCGACTTTTCCAGTAGTTGCACATAGCTGACCCAGAAGCCTGAAAGGCTCCTGAGTCTCAAGAAACCCAGGGTCAAGCTCCCCAGTTAGACATTGGTGTTTGACCTGGCCCATAGCAGCATGGATCCGACAGGACGGAACCCGAAGTTCTGCTTTTGTCTCATTAAAACCGGAAGCCCTCCTTTCTTTCAGTGGCATTTCAGGTCTTTCCACCCACTTTGCCGCACCAAAGTACAGTCCCAAACCCGAGGGTGGGCAGAGGTAATTGCACCACAGAAGCGCCGTGTTCATTAGCGTGATTGTTACCGGCTGAGCGCTGATCAGCCAACAGGCATTGTTGAACGCAAATGAAAACTATCACTGTGGACCACACTATCCTATCCTGCCTGTCACTCCGTCCCATAACTTGGTGTCATCTTCAGCTTGGCGCTTTTGCTAGGGCCTCACGTTGAGCCTGTGTCTAAATCTTGCTGTTTCTTTCTGCATAGTGCCTCTAAGAGATGGCCTTTCCCAGCCATCCATCCAGCTGAAACACTCAACCCAGCTCCCGTCTTCTCGATTACTGCAGCCTCCTTCTCTTTGGCTTTGATAAATGAGACCTTGCTCTGCTCGTATCTATTCAGAACACTCCTTCAAAGGTCTTTTCCTAGCCCTTGGTTTGACCATGTCACTCCTCTCTTTGCACCCTCCACTGGCTCCCCCTGCTTTAGAGCATCAAGCACAAGCTGCTTATCTTCACTTTCAGAGCCCTTCGTGGCCTGTCACAACCTTCCAGTCATCTCATATTTGTTATCAAGCCATCAGTGCTCACCTCTGATTGGCCCAGGACATGAGTGTGCGCTGCCCACGTGTTAAATGTTCCAGAAAGCTCCCTTGTGCTTTCCCCTGTGCTGGCCCACATGCTTGGGAGGCGCTTCCCATTAAGATCTGCAAAGCTACCTTGTTATCCACCTGCAGATGCAGTCTCAAAAATCTCCTTTGCTGTGACAGCTATAAAAAAGTTGGCAAGAGTTAGACTGGTGGTGCGCAGAGACTGCTGCCTGTCATGTTGACCATTATTGTCTGATTGTTTACTTGTATGTCCCCGTCTGTCTGTGTTCATTTGTTGTTTCTTGTCTTATACATAGATTGGGGCAGGACCAACCATCTTGTGAATCTTTGTTTGTACAGCTCCTAACACAGTGGGGTTCAGGTCCACACCTAGGGCTCCTCGGTGCTTCAGTGATACAAATCATAAATAAGAAGATGATTATGGAGCACAAGAGAGCAGCATAGGAGTGGTGCTGGTATGCCCTGCTGCAGCATGCTGGCCCAATACAAGCCCTGGGTTTTACCCTTCTGGGGAAGGAAAAGCTGGATGTGCCAGGCAGCAGCCTCTTTCATTAGGAAGCCTCCATCTCCATTGGAGGAAGAGATGCTCGGGGGGTTGGGGAAGGGCAGTTCTCTGCATTTTGCACTTTGCCTGCAAGCTCCAGCAAAGGAGATCTGAGTGCAGAAGCTTGTTTGGATTCTGCCAGGTGTCAGAAGTGCATACGGTAAAAGGTATTGGCTGTAGGGCATTGTAAAACGCATACTCAGGCACTTAAAGCCAGCACTGAGAATACGTCGTAACACGCTTTGGGGACGGGGCAGGGCCTTTGTGGGGTGGCTCGAGCAGGAGATGTTACGTTAGAAAAGTCGCTTTTCCTTGTGATTTTAGGATCGAATCATTGATGCGGGACCGAAGGGCAATTACGCTCGATTTATGAACCATTGCTGCCAACCCAACTGTGAGACTCAGAAATGGTCCGTGAATGGTGATACGCGCGTTGGGCTCTTTGCTCTTGTCAATATCAAAGCTGGTAAGGGACCTTGTTCTGTTGCTGACCCGGAGTTCTGGTGGGGCGTCTCTGTCAGGAAAGGGGAGGGTCTGTAGCGAGGGTCTGGAGCTGAGACGGCCTGTAGGAAAGCCTCAGTATGCAAAGGGTGGAACACGTAAGCCAGGCACATACAACAGAGGGTGTATTGGGAGGGCTGATTGTGTGTTTCCGCCACCTGGCCCACGTTTTCCACCCCCACGATATCTTGTGGAGGCAAGAGCGGGACCCAGATGTGTTTCCATCTCCTGGCACATGCGGGGCGGGGGCAGGGGGCCAGGGACCTGGAGGAGGGGCCAGAACAGCTCCAATGGCACACAGCATCGGGTGGGCCGCTGGCGAGCAGGTGGGAAGAGCTCTCCTTTCCCGGCCGGCTATAGCAGTTGTGCCAGCCAGCTCTGGGGTGCAGGGACCATGCAGAGGGGACACAGTGTAAGCCCCCCAGCTAGCTGGGATAGGCTGGGGGATGGGGCACTGGTACCTGGGTAGGGGGACGTCAGTGCAGAGGGAGCCAGATACTGAGGAACTCTCCTAGGAATGGCAGGAACTGTCAGGATGCCCCCCCACAGCTAGATCCAGCTCCCCCTAACCCCCATAGAGTCTTAACAGCTCCCCTTGCTCCCTATCTCTCCACCTCCCCCCTTCTCAGTGAGCGTCTGTGCCCCTGAGCAGAGTGTCATTGTTATAATTGCCCAGGGCCCAGCAATATGATTCCTGGGTTGCCACTGGCAAGCAAACAAATGCAATGTCAAAACCTGGAATGTGGCTGGTGATGGGGTCTGCATCTAGTTGCCGATCCGTGTAGATCTACCCTAGGGGAGGGGGGAGAAGCTGGTGCCCCTCCACATTTCTGCCAGCCGTGAGTAGGCTCTGGTGTTTCTTCAGTTTAGCAGGAGAAGCTGTATGGTTTGTCACAGTCCAGATGTTGCCTACCGATTTCTTTTATTACCAGGGACTGAGCTGACTTTCAACTACAACCTGGAATGTTTGGGGAATGGAAAGACAGTTTGCAAATGTGGTGCTCCGAATTGCAGCGGGTTCCTAGGAGTGCGGCCAAAGGTAAGACAGCCCTTCTCTGGCTTCTTTTTATTCCAAGGGCTCTCTTTGAATTGGAGTGGCTTGCTTGCTGCAGGGACACAGAAGTGCCATGATAAATGCCACTGTATTTTCAAAGTGATTGTGAAAATCCTGCTGAGGCTGAGTTGGGCAAACATGCAAGTACCTCACTTTAGGTTGCAGGAGCACAGAATCTTAGATTTTGTTAAATCAGTGTAGGAACCAAATTCCAGAGCAGAGCACCCACAAAGAGGCCTTGTCTGCACTAGGAGATTTCATAAGTATTTTTCTCCACGGGTTTAGCAATAATACATTAAAGTTTATGAGTAAAATAGGAACAGAAATACTCTATACATGCAACAGGGATGAGCTAACATCGGAGGAGAAATGTTTGCTTTTGGAGCTTCCTGATTTTTGAGCACTTGATTTCGTAATCTTAATGTTGCGCTAACAGGAATTAATATTTTATTTTGAATTTTACTGTTTGCTTGAGATGGGGACTTCTTAATGAAAAACTGCAGAACCAGCTGGCATGGCTTGCAGTCTTCACCAGCAGAGTCTGAGCCGCAGCTGTTTACTAGTTCCACATGCTTCACAAAGCAGCTTGTAAACTCTGTGCTGTGGAGTTAGTAGGCACGTACTGCAACAAAGAAACTGCCTCGTTGAGAGTTGAGTTAGGTGCTGCACCACCAAAGCCTCACAAGTTTACAGGCCAGGCCCTGTGTTCTCCACAGCAAGCTGGGCCTAAATTCTGTAGGGGGATCCCGGGTTTTGTGGCCTTGTGGTGTAGCAGACTGGAAATCCTTTAGCAGCCTCATTTCAATGAAAACCACAGCTTTTCCATTAATTACGGATGAGCTGAATCGCACAGTTGTCACAGTGAGCCCCTCTGTTGTTTGTTTTGATATTAAGCTCAGTTTATTGTATGCTGATGCCACATTTTCAGTTCCTGGTGTGCCTCATCTTTTTGGTACATCATAGAAATCAGGGGAAGCTGGAGGTTTTGGTAGTTGGATGGGAGCAGCTGGTGCTTTGGGCCTGGGGGGTTGGTTTGGAGTTCTGTGATAAGCACATTATGAATGTTTCTAATAAAACAATCAGCAGTGAAATAGCTAATGGTGTTTACACTTAACTTGCCATTGTTGGGATCCAGAATTAACATTTCAGTCTGATGACTGAGGTAGTTCTTCTTTGAGTGATTGCTCATGTGTATTCCACAATAGGTGTGCGTGCCTGCCACGTGCACGAGTGCCGGAGGTTTTTCCCCCTAGCAGTGCCTGTAGGGGGGAGCACCCCCCTCCCCGCGACCGCTGGAGTGGAGCCTGTCTAGCGCGGTATAAGGGGGACTGCACTCCCCCCACTCTCAGTTCCTTCTTGCCGCCAGTGAAGGTGCGTTGGAAGTACTCTGCCCCAGCCCTGCAGCAGCTCGTCCCCAGAACTCTTCGTTTGTTCAGTAGTACCTGTAGTCAGTTAGCTAATGCAGTTAGTTTAGTTAAAGAAAAGGAGGACTTGTGGCACCTTAGAGACTAACCAATTTATTTGAGCATAAACTTTCATGAGCTGTAGCTCACTTCATCGGATGCATGCAGTGGAAAATACAGTGGGGAGATTTATAGACGCAGAGAACATGAAACAATGGGTATTACCATACACACTGTAAGGAGAGTGATCAGGTAAGGTGAGCTATTACCAGCAGGAGAGCGGGGTGTGGGGGGGACCTTTTGTAGTGATAATCAAGGTGGGCCATTTCCAGCAGTTGACAAGAATGTCTGAGGAACAGCAGGTGGTGGGGGGAAGGAATCAACATGGGGAAGTAGTTTTACTTTGTGTAATGACCCATCCACTCCCAGTCTTTATTCAAGCTTAAGTTAATTGTATCCAGTTTGCGATTTAATTCCAGTTCGGCAATCTCTCCTTGGAGTCCCTACCAATTCACGGTCCTACCATTTGGTCTGTCCACTGCCCCCAGGGTCTTTACAAAGTGTATGGTAGTGGTAGCGGCCTACCTCAGACGCCAGGGGGTCCAAATATTCCCATATCTGGATGACTGGCTAGTCAAAGGCACCTCCCGGTCGCAGGTGAGAGATCACGTGGCGCTCCTCCTGTCCACATGTACTGCCCTGGGCCTGTTGATAACGCCAAGGCCACGTTAGTTCTAGTCCAACGCATAGAGTTTATCGGGGCGCTACTGGACGCAACGTCTGCCAGGGCCTCTTTCCCACCAGACAGGTTCGAGACCCTGAAAGGGCTTATCAACTCGGTCACCAGGTTCCCAGTGACGACAGCCAGGGCTTGCCTGTAACATGTCTGCGTGCACAGACTCAGAATGAGGCCCCCTCCAGCTCTGGCTGGCCTCGCAGTTCTCCCAGGCCATAGACAGGGTGGACAAGGTCCTCACCATGCTGGACTCTGTGATCATCTCCTTACAGTGGTGGTCCGCCCCAAACAACATGCTCCAGGGGGTCCCTTTCAGGGACAGGGCCCTGTCGTTGGAGCTGTGTCAGACCTGGGTTGGGGGGCCCATGTGGGGAACTTTCAGACCCAAGGCCTGTGGTCTCTGGAGGACCTACCTCTTCATATACGTGTCAAGGAACTCAGGGCGGTGCGACTGGCGTGTATGGCGTTCCGCTCGCACCTGGAGGGCAAGGTAATCAGGGTCCTCACGGACAACACGGCCTCAATGTTCTATATCAACAGGGAAGGCGGGGCCTGATCCTCTGCCATGAAGCCCTCAGTCTGTGGGACCTCTGTATAGCCCACAACATCTACTTAAAAGCCTTCCACCTGCCAGGTGCCCGGAATGTCAGGGCGGATCGCTTGAGCAGGAATTTTTCCTCTCAGCACGAGTGGTCTCTACACCTGGAAGTGGCTCACCAACTCTTCCAAAGGTGGGGTACTCCCCAGGTGGACCTATTTGCGACCAGGCAGAACCGACGATGCTCCCGGTTCTGCTCCGGGGGGGCCTAGGGAGGGACGCTATCTCCGATGCCTTTACCCTGTCCTGGTCAGGCCAGCTCCTCTACACCTTTCCCCCGTTCTCTCTGATCAGCAAGGTCCTGGAGAAAATAAAGACGGACAAAGCCAGGGTCCTCCTCGTTGCCCCAGCATGGCCCAGGCAACACTGGTACGGGACCCTCTCGGGGATGGCGGTAGCTCTGCCATGGCAGTTGCTGCTCTGCCTGGACCTGCTCTCTCATGACCAGGGCCGCCTCCTCCATCCCAACCCAGCAACGCTTCACCTCACTGCATGGCTGCTCAATGGCTAGGTGGCGAGGAAAGGACATGCTCGGAACAGGTTCAGCACGTCCTCCTCAAAAGTAGATGGCCCTCCACTCGCCGGTCCTATGTGGTGAAGTGGCCTCAGTTTTCAAGGTGGGCGCCAGGCCAGGGTGTTTCCCCGACAGCCGCCCCGATCCAGCTTATCCTTGATTACCTCCTCCACCTGAGGGCCCAGGGACTGGCACCCTCATCAGTCAGGGTACACTTGGTGGCCATATCAGCCTTTCATCCCCCGGTGCAAGGTCACGCAGTATTTTCCCATGCTATTACTGGCTGATTCCTTAAGGGTTTGGACCGTCTCTACCCATATTCCAAGCCCCTGGTTCCGCAATGGGACCTAAACCTGGTGCCGGCTTGTCTCATGGGGGCCCCGTTTGAACCACTGGCCACGTGTTTCTGGTCTCACCTCTCATGGAAGGTTTCAGAGTAGCAGCCGTGTTGGTCTGTATTCGCAAAAAGAAAAGGAGTACTTGTGGCACCTTAGAGGCTAACCAATTTATTTGAGCATAAGCTTTCGTGAGCTACAGCTCACTTCATTGGATGCATTCATGGAAGGTGGCCTTCCTGGTAGCTATCACGTCAGTCAGGCGGGTCTCGGAGCTCAGGGCCCTAACCTCCGAACCGCCGTATACAGTTTTTCATAAGGACAAGGTCCAGCTGCACTCCTTCCGAAAGTGATCTCCACTTACCACATGGGTCAGGACATTTTTCTGCCAGTCCTCTGCCCCAAGCTTCACACGACTAGTGAGGAACGCCGTCTCCACACGCTCGACATGAGGCGAGCTCTGGCTTTCTACTTCGAGCGGACCAAGCTGTTCAGAAAGTCTTTGCAACTGTTCGTTTTCCACTATTTCCACTCAGAGGCTTTCTAAGCGGATCACTTCGTGCATCCGTCCTGTTATGAGCTGACGGGTGTCCCCCCGCCACCCATTGTGAGGACACACTCGACTTGGGTGCAGGCCTCGTCGGCTGCCTTTGTGGCCCACATCCCCATCCAGGACATTTGTAGGGCCGCCACGTGGTCTTGGGTTCACATGTTTGCCTCGCACTATGCAATTGTCTCTCAGGCCAGGGATGATGCCGGGTTTGGCAGGGCGGTCCTCCGTCCCGAGAACTTGTGAACTCCTACCCACCTCCAACAGGTATAGCTTGGAATCACCTATTGTGGAATACACATGAGCAATCACTCGAAGAGGAAAAGACAGTTACCTTTTCCGTAACTGGTGTTCTTCGAGATGTGTTGTTCATGTCTATTCCACACCCCGCCCTCCTTCCCCTCTGTCGGAGTTGTCTGGCAAGAAGGAACTGAGGGCGGGGGGAGCGCAGCCCCCCTTATACCGTGCCAGGCAGGCGCCGCTCCAGGGGTTGCGGGGGAGGGGGGCGCTCCCCCCTACGGGTACTGCTAGGGGAAAAACTGGCACACCCATTGTGGAATAGACTTGAGCAACACATCTCGAAGAACACCAGTTACAGGAAAGGTAACGGTCTTTTCACTCCCTCAGAGGGATTGTTTCAGGCTGTCTGCAGACTCAGAAGACAGCACAGAACATAAGAACGGCCATACTAAGTCAGACCAAAGCTCCATCTAGCCCAGTATCCTGTCTTACGATAGTTACGATAGGTGCCCCAGAGGGAATGAACAGAACAGGGAATCATCAGGTGATCCATCCCCTGTCACCCATTCCCAGCTTCTGGCAAACAGAGGCTAGGGACACCATCGCTGC